TAGTCCGACCCTTTCACATTATAGATGAGACCACTGAAACCCAGAGGGCTTATCTCTCAAGGTCACACAGGTAGAAGCTAGGAATTCAAAACTGAATTTTCTGAGCATAAGTCTAGTTTAGACCAATTTTATATATAAGGAAAGCACATTGGTAGTAGTTTTGTGTAGCCCCTACAATCACCCTTAAGGACTGAATTATTCTCCTAAACTGTATTCATTTTGGCAGCTCTGAGAGTCCTTGAGAGGAGCATGACACACTGCCACTCTTACTACTCTGTCAGAGTACTAAGGGTAACCCTGGTGTGGAGGGATATGCTCCTACTACTAAGGTTATTGCTTCTGAGTCGCCACTGGTATGCTTTCCCTGAATATGAAATCAATCACCATGATACCACTAACTCTTAAACATGAAACATTTACTTAATAATGATGAAGCAAAAAAGGAGGAATAATCATAACATTTACTTATTGGAAGACAAAAGTAGGAATAATTAAATGCCATAGATACTCAATAGAAATCAAAAGAAGGAATAATCAAAACATTGCAGTCCAGACGTAAACCTGGGTCACACTCTCCTACCAGTGTACTCAGTGTTTGTGGAAGAGAGTGAACACCCATTTATAGAACCCTAGCTGGGAGGCACATGAGTAGAACAAACCGTGTGCCTAGGGTACTCACAACTTTAGACTATAGGCTTTGATATCCTTGTTCCCTTCCCATAAAAAGCCACGTCTTTGCTAGCTACTCCCCTTTTGGTCCTTACCCCTCTCTTGATGGGCAAAACTGCTCTTCCAAAGCCACTCAAACCCATGAAGCAGTGATAAGCTATTTTCACTCACAGCTACCCTTAATAGGGTGCTGAGAAAAAGTCATAGAAATCTCAAAGTAGCGCAGCCAGGTGGGAAATGAGATGGTCTGTGCTGAGCCTCTTCTTTAAATGGTGGTTATGGAGTTCATGGCTCCACCCTCCAACCAGAAGGGAAGAGGCAGTGATGATGTGCCAGTACTAAGCAAGGCTGATGGGATCTGGCAGGATGATGTGGTTTTCCCAATCATGAGCTTCCTAGGGTATCATGGAGAAGCAGAATAGTCCCAAAGAAATGGGTCTAGGTGAGAAAAAAGCAAAAGAGAACATCTAATCATGAGTTGAATCTTGTGCAAAATAATTTTAGCTTTGAAGAAAAATGATTTTTTTCCCCCCTAAGTAGGTAATACAACTATCTCCTCTGCACTGAAATCCATGATCAGAGCCTGTTAAAAAGCCCAAGTATCAGAGAGCTAGAAGGGACTCTGAGCTCATCTAGTCCAACTACCTTATTTTACAGATGAAGAAACTGAGGCCTAAGGAGGCGCAGTGATTTGCCCAAAGTCATGTAGTAATAGAGTTGGGATTTGATCCCAGGTCTTCTGATGTCACATCCAGTGTTTGTTCCAATACATCAAGGCTAACTTGAGATTCTCCTTTATCCTCTCTATGCTCCCATTCTTTTTAAAAGACATAATGAGTAGTAAAATGTACAAATGGCTGGCAACAACAGGAGGAAAAAGGGGAAAACTAAAAAGTATGAATAATTCAAAACCTCCAAGAATGAGTTGACTATAATTCAGTAAACTATTTTGAGAAGTAATGTACTATCATATAACTAAAGAGTTTCTGTATATTCCTTAAGATATTATATAGACAGGGCAAATTGGTTTAAATTAAACTAATTAGGTTACTGCCCTTTCCTGGCATTGTGGGCAATGTTTGCTGGGCAACTCATTACTCTGGAGACAAAAATCTATCTCTTGGCAACACAGCTGTAACCAACATGTAGCCCAGCTCAGGAGAACACTTGGTTCTCTTGGGCTGGCATCCAATGGGAATTTCAAAGTAAAGAATCTGCTTCTGCTTTGAGTAGTATGCATGAAAGTGAGATGAGAGGCAGTATGACATAATGAAGAGACCACTGACCTGGAATCAAAACCTGCATTTTTGTCCTTCCTCTCCCTTTAACCTTGGGCAAATAAGTGGAAGATTCTTCTTGGTCTCACTTTCTTCATCCAAAAAACCAAAGTAGATTGACTAGCTTATATCTTAAAGTCCCTTCTAAATCGAAATTCTAAGACCTGAGAAAAAGTCATAAATTAGTTTGAACCAGATTTTAAATCTGAAATGAGATGCTATAATACAAAGGAGAAAGAAGGCAGAGAAGTAGCAAGAACAATATCAAACAACCAGAGCCATAACTAGGGAGAGGCTAAAAAGGATATTCTTCAGGGACTCCAATTTAAAGGGTCATGGCAATATTCGCAATGTACCATTCCCCACTCCATGTGCTCTTCAGTACAGTGACAGTGGCCTCTTTGCTGTTCTTTGCACAAGACACAACATCTCTAGACTCTGGGCATTTTTACTGGCTGCCTCCCATACCTGGAATGCTCTCCCTCCTTATTTTTGTGTAGTGAAGTACCCTGGTTTTCTTCAAGTCCTAGCTAAAAGTCTGCTTTTTGCAAGAAGCCCTTTCTGGTCCCATTAGTTCTAGTGACTTCCCTCTGAGATTACCTCCAATTTATTCTAGGTGTCACTTCTTCCATGACCATTACCTGAACAATTCCCAGATGAAAATATTCTCTTCCTCCTCAAATTTTCTTAAATCACATCTCCTAGATCTTATCTTTGTCTCGTTCATAGTTTCTACGAGCCAGAGATTTAGTAAGTATCTGATAAATTAAAACCAATGAAGGTTGAAAGTGCCTCCAATTAAGATTTTTTTGGTGGGCGTACTTTGAGCAAAGAAACAGTTTTCTGCAGCACTGTTCATTGGTAGAAAAGAAATATTGATTAATCTTGGGTCATTCATATCTGCTGGCTTCACATTTTATTGGTGATGATTGAGTATTACTTGTCATCCATAGTATACAAAAATTGGACTTAGGCACCTAGTGCCTGCATTAGATTGTAAGCTTCTTGAGGGCAGGGTCTGTCTTTTGCCTCTTATTGTATTCTCTGCACTTAGCACAGTGCCTGGCACATAGTAGGTGTTTAACAAATGTTTATTGATTGATGACATATTTGTATTTGGCCTCCCCTATTCTAATGTGAGTTCCTTGAGGGCAGGGACTATTTTTGCCTTTCTTTGTATCTCCACTTAGTACAGGGCCTGGAAGCGCTTTATAAATGCTTGTTGATTAAATTATTGATGACATGGTATAATTGACTTAGAGTCAGAAGAGTTGGATTAAAGACATAGAATTGTCATGTTCCGGCTGTGGGATCCAGGCTAAGTCATTTTAACTCTTCAGGATCTTAGTTTCCTTATCTGAAAAATAAAGGGGCTAGAGAGATAATCCCTGAAGTTCCTCCCAGTTCAGACGTTCTGGGATTCTTTCACAAGACATACCTAGGAACAACAAATGCTGTTTCCCTGTGAATACTCTCTGAGAGGTATTCCCCCAATCTAAGGCATTGCTGGGCATGGGCTATGGGAGTCAGGCTATTAGAAGCTTCCAGTACTCTGACATAAATTATGGTAAACTGAAGAGACCCTTGGTTATCTTCTCTGTCATCTAATCCAAACAAACCAGTGCACTGAAATTGACAAGTGTTTACATGAACAAAACTAATGCAGCCAGGATAAAAAGCTAGGAGATAAACTGGAGGAAAAAAATCAAATATCTCTGATAACAGTCTGACATCCAAAACATGTGGGAAGTTAGCAGGAATACATAAGACTAAAAGCCACTCCCCAATGGAAAGTAGAAAAAAAAAGATGCGAATAAAAAGTTCTGAAAAGAAATTTGCAAACTATTACCAACCAACGAAGAATGCTTCAAATCACTAATAACAAAAGAATTGTACAGAAAAACAACTCTTTGATTTTACCTAATATTCAGAAAGTTGGCAAAGGCAATAAAAGATGAGAATAGTCAATTGGAGAGGTTATGGAAAGATGTATACACTGACAATCTGTTGGTGGAGCTAAAAATTGGTACAACCTTTCTGGCACACAATTCAAAATTATTCAAAGAAAGTCACAAAAATGTTCATACCTTTTAATTCAGAAAATCCATTGCTGGACATGTACATAAAAAAGTCGATGACAAAAAGAAAGGTCCAAAGGACAAGAAAATATTTATGACTTTTTTTTTTGTAGAAATGAACTCAAAACAAAATAGATGTTGATTGATTGAGGAATGGCTTAAAGCGTTTGAGTACATGCACATAATATAATACCATAGAATTGTAAGAAACAATGAGCATCTTTTTGTGGTGGCAAAGAACTGGAAATTGTGTGGATGCCCATCAATTGGGGAATGGCTGAACAAGTTGTGGTATATGAATGCAATGGAATAGTATTATCCTGTAAGAAATGATGGGCAGGCAGATTTCAGAAAAGCCTGGAAAGACTTACATGAACTGATGCTGAGTGAAGAGAGCAGAGCCAGGAGAACATATAAACAGCAACAGCAGCACTGTGTGATGATCAACAACAACAGACTTAGCTCTTCTCAGCAATACAATGATCTAAGACAGTTTCAAACGATTCATGAGGGAAAATGTTATCCACATCCAGAGAAAGAACTATGGAGTCTGAATGCAGACTGAAGCATACTATTTTTCATTTTGTTTTTGTTTTTTCTTTCTCATGGTTTTTCCCTTTTGTTCTGATTCTTCTTCCACAACATGACTAATGTGTTTAACATGACTGTACACCTATATCTGATTGCTTGCTGTCTTGGCGGGGGGGGGGGGAGGGAAGGAAGGGAAGGAGAAAAATTTGGAACTTAAAATCTTATAAAATGAATGTTAAAAACTATCTTTACATTAATTGGAAAAAATACTATTAAATGCCAAAAGAAAGAAAGAAAAACAATGAGCACAATAGAAAGAAACTTGGAAAGACTTATATGAACTGAAGCAATCTAAAGTAAACAGAATCAGGAAAATAATATTAACAAAGACAATGTAAGTGGAACAAAACAAGAACAAAACAAATGAAATTGAATGTTGTGAAAGTTTAATGACCAAACTTGGCCCCAAAAAAGTGATAGGACAAGGCACCGTATCCAGGTATTTTTCCCCCCCAGAGGAAGAAGACTAATTGTGAAATGCTGTATTATCAGACCATTTTCTAGTATGCTGGTAGTATTTAGTCTTGCTAAACTCTTTTTGACTTCCTTTTCTTCTTTGTTGTAACAGATTCTTTCTGGAAGGGACAGGGCAGAGATATTTTGGGAAATGTAGATGATCTAAAAACAAAAAAAAATCAAAAAATTTTAAAAAGCTAATGTACATACTAAAGAATTGTTGAGAAAATTCTGTATTTCTAAATACAATTGAACACATAGCTTTAACAGGGATATAAAGTTCATGACACTTTGGCATGGTTACATGATTACTTTGCTGAGTAGCCAAAGGTACATAAAATGCCTTGAGGAGTGAGTTCACTGGTGACATTTACAATCCAGTTAGGCAAAAAAACATACAAACAGGAAGCAACTAGAGAACAAATAAAACCTGCTATTTTTTCAACTTTTCAGTTGTTTTTCAGTTGTGTTCTACTCTTCATGACCCCATTTGGGGTTTTCTTGGCAAAGATGCTGGAATGGGTTGCCATTTTCTTCTCCAGCTCATTTTTACAGATGAGGAAACTGAGGCAAACTGTGTGCCCCGGGTCACACAGCTGGTAAGTGTCTGAGGCTGGGTTTGAATCCAGGAAGATGAGTCCTCCTGATTCTAAGCCTAATACTCTATCCACTGTATCACCTAGCTGCCAATTCCATATTATATACATGATCAAATATAAGGTTTTCAGTTTGGTATTTAAAGCTCTTCATATGTTGATCCCTTTCCAACCTTTCTTACACTTTACTCCCATTGATACACTGCAGCATTCAGCTACCTTGGTGTACCTACATTTCCATCTTCTATCTTTATGTTATTGGCTGTCCTCCACTCTTGGCATGCTCTGCCCCTTCACCTCAACTTCTTCACTTCCTTGGCTTCCTTTAAGACTCAGCTCAAGATTAATCTTTCACAGGAGGCTTTTCCTGGTCCCCCTCACTGCTAATTTGGATCCCCTTTTGGATAACTTTCTGTCCACTGTGCATATATATCTTGTATGTACCTAGTTATTTACTTGCTGTCTCACCCATAAGAACGGAAGCTCCTTGAGAACAAGGATTGTTGGGTTTTTTTCTTAACTTTCTTTTTATCCCCAGAACTTAGCACAGTGCTACATGCTGACTGACTGACCCAAGTATACATAGAATTGGTGAAGGGAAATAATATGAAAAAAGCCAAAAAATGTAGCCTGGAGACAAGTAGAAGAGTTTGTATTTCATCCTAGAGGCAATAAGGAGCCCTTTTTGACAGGGTCCTTCCATTTGGAGTACATGATTCAAGGTATCTTCTTAGATCTGGACATGTAGTAACCAGAAAGGTTACAAATGCCTTCCTCTTTTCCAAGTTTTCATCACTTCTTTCAAGAACTGAAACTGAGTTCTGCCTAAAAGCTCCTCCAGCTAATCTTTTTGATCTTTTCTTCAGCTGTAAAGACAGGCATGGCCAAGGTAGGGGGAAAGGCAAGTTAAATTTTCTAAGTGCTTTTACACTGATCTCATTTGATCTTTACAATATTACTGTAAGGTAGGAAGTGTAGGGTTTATTAACCTATTTTATGGACGAGAAAAACTAAGGTTGAGAGGTTGCTATTTCCCTAAAGTGATAGAATTGCAATTAGAGTGCTATTTCAAACAGGTCCCATTAAATAGCAAGTTTCTCTTCTACTTCTTGTCTGTGTGCTTTCTGTTTGTATGTTTGTTGTTTTTTTTTCTTCTGACTAACTGGTGTTAGTGCCCCAATGCACTCACTCCTCAAGGAATTTTCTATACCTTTGGCTACTCAATAAATGCTGACTGAATAATGGAATGAACACTCTGCCACCCCCCGGATAAATATAAATGGGCCCAGAATTACAGAATGTATCAATATGGGTAATACAAATGGTCAGGCACCTGTGACCAGGTAGTCAGCCCTTATGGGGATGACAGCAGCAGCAGGAATTGTGTCAGTCATACTCTGACTTGTTGGCGATACAGCCATATCTTTTAATTTTGTGCCTTTTCCATTACCTTCCCTGCAACTTGGAGTCTCTAGTATGACCCTTAGATGAGGAGGAGAGAAGAGAAGAGCAGAGCACATGCTGGGCTTAGGCTAAAGGGCAGCAGTTTGTGAGGAAGAAGAGGGGAGACCCATCATAAAGGTCCTTTTTGAGAGGTCATCCATCCCTTTTCTGTATTTCATGACCAGGGCTCCTCTCTGGCTTACTGGCTATGTATAATGAACATGAAGAGGAATCTTGAGGAGTTGGAGACTTTTATCATTCTTTTGGGCCAGCTAAATTGTACTTGTGGATGACCGACTACCACCTACACTGACCATTTTCTTTTCATTCTAACAGATAGGAATTTGCATACAAATCTGGTTCCCAGAGCACTCTAGAGTCTTTTTTTTTTCTCCTCAGGAAAAAAAAAAAAAGAAACCCACTACTTTCTTGTTTTGAAACAGTTCATTAAATGGTCATTCTTTGTGCTGGGATCTTATCTGAGCCTTTCAGCCAGAGATGTCCTTTTCCTGTGTCTGTCCCATCAGGCAGGCATTTTAAAGGACAGCTTCAGCATTCCAAGCTATTCACATCAGATCTTCAATGTTAAGTCTGGAGTCATAGGTGCAAGACAAAAACAACAGTGTAATCTTGCTTCCATTCAGTGCTTCTGGACCAGAAAAAAACCAAATGGAGTTTTCTGGCTTCATGGCATGTACCTTGTGCTTGTTCCATTTCCTTCCGTGTTCCAGGTTCCTTATCTAAAGCAGCCAACGAATCAACAAAGATAGAGGCTGGAGGTCTGCTTATCTCCTAGGCTGACTCTTTGAAGAGCTGTAAGCAAACTCTAACTGTGGGGGCAGATTCCATGAGTCAAGGAGAAACAGACCACAGTGATTTGTGATTACTCTAATAAATACATACACAGAGTAAATATTCCCATTTGTTGTTAAAGTAACTGTAGGATCAGTCAATCACTCAAGAAGCATTTATTAGGCACCTGCTATGTGTTAGGCACTGCACTGTATGCTAGAGATGTAAAGACAAAAAAGAAACAATCGATCCACAAGAAGCCTAAGTTCTGTCTGATCAATCTTTTAAGCTTGTTTTGGTGCAAGTTGTATCCTAGCTACTCTTAATAATGTAGAAGTATCATTTTTTAATGAATTGTTGTGAAAACAAAAATAATTGTAGAAATGCTGACATAAATGGAAGCTATTATGGGAAAAAATTTTATTAATAAGACCAAGAAATTATTTATCAATATTATTAATTTCATCTTTATCTCATCTTTTAAAAGTTTCTATTTTATGTTTGCTAATATGTATTATATATTAGAATATAATACATGTATATTATTTATAATATAATATATATATACATATATATATATATTTGGAATATGAACTAAACATTTTTTTACTGATGTGATATGTGATCAAAAAAGTTTGGAGAAACATTTATCTAGAATTCTGGAAGAAGTGGTCTAAGGAATATTGTGTTTCATTCTGGAGACTAGCTTTTAGGAAGGATATTGACAAATTGAAACAGACAACCGTTATAATAAAATATAGTATAAACAATAGCTAACATTTATCTAGTTGCACACTGCTTTACAGACATCATCTCTTTTGAGCCTTGCAATAATCCTGTCAAAAGCTGACAGTAATAAGCTGAGTCATGGATAGAGCATGAGATCCCATTTTGGTAATATCAGTGTCGTTAGGGTAGGGGATAGCACTAAGCTGTTCAAAGCAGACTTATATTGCACTACCATTATAGGCATACAGGAGTAATACAGTTAATGTTAACCCCTATGTGAGGGCCAGGTCTGTTAAATTCTCCTCTCCCCTTCCACTACACACACACACACACACACACACACACACACACACACAAAGGTATCAGGGTTTTCAGGCTGATTTGAGGTTGTCTATTTTCTCTGCCATGAGATCAAGCCATTGTCTGCCATGTTCTCCCAATTTTTATGGATCTAGTGACTGGCACCCCAATTTAATTTAATCATTTAAACATAATAGATTTGCTTTTTCAAGAGATATTTTTTTCAACAATATAGTAAAAATATGAAAACATTTTCCTTAGTACCTCAAGGGCATAATTTTCCCTAAATCACTCAATATGAAGGGAATAAAACTTAGCACAGTTCCCATACCACATTGGTTCCAACAAATTCACACAAATGTCAGCTTCTTCTGAGTTAAAGTCCAGGATGGCTACAACCCTGGCCTGGATTTCTTGGACTCTTGAATCCCTGTGGCTCAAACTCTGGGGCCAGATCAGAGACTCTACTCTCTGCTCCTAGGACAGGAAAGAACAAATGAAAAAGTCAAAGACCATTTTTAGTGACCAGATGGTGGAAAGGGATTGATGGAGGCCCAATGGCCTTCTTCCCTTGTCTCATGGTCTCACCAACTGGGTAAAGTTCTCCTTTGAATACAGGCATAGCTCATTTTATTGCATTTAGCAAGTCTATTGGCACCATTTTTATAACAGCATGTGCTCTATCACTTTTCGTTAATCTCACAATAGTACAACTTCTTCATTAAAATTAATTCAACAGTTGAACTCAGTATTTCAATTTTTTCACTTGTTATGATGATCTATGATCAGTGATTTTTAATATTACTATTGTAATTATTTTGGGGTCACAAACTATGCCTACATAAAGACTGCAAACTTAATTGATAAATGTTGTATGTTCCGACTACTCTACTAGCTGGAGCACTCCTGTCTCTCTCCCTCTCCTTGGGCTGCCCTATTCCCTGAGACACAACAATATTGAAATTTGGCCAATTAATAATCCTACAATGGTTACAAAGTATTCAAGTGAGACGAGGAGTCAATTGATGTGACAAATTTCATCACTGTCTTATTTTAAGAAATTGCCACAGCCACCGTAACCTTCAGTACCCACCACCCTGATCAACTGGCAACCATCAACATCAAGTCACTAAGCAAGACCCTCCACCAGCAAAATAATTATGACTCACTGAAGTCTCAGATGATGGTTAGCATTTTTTTTTAGCAATAAAATATTTTAAATTAAGGTAGATATGCTGTTTTTAAAAGACATAATACCATTGTACACTTAAAAGACTACAGTATGGTACAAATATAACTTTTATATGTACTGGGAAACCAAAATATTCCTGTGACTTGCTTTATTGTGCTATTTGTTTTATCAGTAGCAAGGAACTTAACCTGCAGTATCTCTGAGGTATGCTGTACTGTCTATTCATATCCTTTGAACATTTATCAATTGGGTAATGGCCCTTATTACTATAAATTTGAATTAACTCCTTATATTTCTTGGAAATGACATCTTTATCAGAGAAGCTTACTGCAAAATTTTTTTTCCATTTAACTATATCCCTTCTGATTTTAGTTGGCTTTCTTTTGTACAAAAACTTTTAAATATTTTATCATCACAATTGTCCATTTCATCTTCTGTGATCCTCTTTATCCCCTCTATGGGCCCAGTGACTAGTACTACCAAGAAGGCAGCTTCTTCTTGGCTTCTCTTATATTTATGATCTGACTTTTTATATCCATATATCCATTTGGAGCCATATGTGGTGTGAGGTGTTGGACTAATATTAATTTTTACCATGCTGCTTACCAGTTTTCCCAGAAGCTTTTTGTCTAATAGTGACTAATTGTCAGGCTACTCAAGTAGTTTATCCCAATAGCTGTTGTCTTTGAATTGAATATCCTTAACTCTGTGAAGTAAATAGTGTCAGCTTTATTATCCTATTCCTCTCTGCTTCTCCTTCCATAGAGAGCCATCCCATATAACAAATAATTTTTTTTAAAGTAAAAAGAATAAGTGGTAGGAGAGGAAAAAATATCCATAAAAAAACCAGCAATCCATAAAAAAAAATCTGAACATGTACACAATGTTCCATATCCATGAGTCTCTCACCTCTGCACAGGATCGGGGGGAGGTATCTTCTCACATTTCTTCTTTGGGGCCATGCTTATCAAAATTTGTATGTTCTGGAGACTAAGAAGAGATGTAAAAGTGACAGCAGAGAAACAGGTAAGTTCCAGGTGCACATCTTGTCTTTCTTTGTAAATCTTTCAATTCCAAGGACAGTGATCTTTGTTGACCTGGGCCCCAAACAATAAGTTCCAGGGACAATGAAGGGAAATGACAGTGATGATCTTTCATAGCTTTCTAATTATTTTTGGTGATAAATGTTATCCTATTCAAACATGAATATCTTGGAGTCCATGAAAATCACTCTTTGGGGCCTGATCACTAAGGTAGTCAGGATGGGTTTTAATGTGATATTTTATTATAATGTTGTTCTTCAGTACTGCTCTAAAGTGAAAGTACTCAGATATAAGCCTGGTTACGCATAGGGTAATGGAAAAAGCACTGAATTGGGAGACAAGAGGTCTGAGCCCTGGATCTGCTATTTATTTACTGTACCTATGTGAACTTGGATAAGTCACTGAACCTCATCTGCAAAATAAAGGTGTTAGATTAGAAAATCTTTTAAAGTCTCTTTGAGCTTTAAATCCTATGCAATATTGAAATGCCAAAGCAAATTTTTTTTTTTAGGCAATGGGGTTAAGTGACTTGCCCAGGGTCACAAAGCTAGTAAGTGTTATGTGTCTGAGGCCGGATTTGAACTCAGGTCCTCCTTAATCCACTGTGCCACCTAGCTGCCCCCCAAATTTTTATAATTTAGGACAAAATAATGTTCATTTTTATTCAAACTTGCTAATTAGTCAAAGAAGCCCCCATCCAAGGCATTCTCTACCAACAGAACATGTCAAATAGCAAAACTTTTAATTAAGACAGAATAGTATAGTAATAAGGAAAGATCATTCCATATGAAAAAAGGTATAATTTCACATAGATTCTCATGCTGTTGGTTGGAGATGGAATATTCCTTGGATAGCTCACTCTTACAGTTTATTCTCCTTTGGAAGACCTCACAGCTCCATCTTCCAGAAACTGACTGTATATCACTGAGGCTCCATTCTCTGCCTCCAAAGCTACCTCCCCTACAAAGCTGCTGCTGTCATCTACTGAAAGTTTTCTCTGCTGCCATATGCTGAGTATTTGGTTCTCAGGGCTTTTTCTTTTTTGAAATGGAGTAAAAAAGAATTGCCATTCTTTTGTGAGATTGCCTATCCTTAGGGTCAATCAACACATTTCAGCTCTTTTTCAGTTAGGCCTATAGCTGCACCCAGTGTGCACTGAAAAGAGACCTTCGAGCTAAGCACCTTCTTTTCCAACTACTTTGCTCTCTTTTACTCAGAATGTCCCTAGATCTTCTTCATATTTAGGTTTTGGTAGGCAAATCCCTTTTTAACTCCCATTACAACCCCTAGCAGCTATGACCAGAGCCCTATAAATTACCTTGGAGTTTCAACGAACCTAAGGAGTCAGTTAGCAACACAGGAGCACTGGTGACCTCTGCTTTGCATTCCTGCAGCTACACCCAGGTTAATGTCTTCTTTATACTAACATCCATGAGGAATAACAAAACATCAGTCTGTGTTTTCACGGAAAAACAGCAGGTCATTATGCTGTGGGGAAGACAATCCCCAGCTCCACTACTGAATATTGGTTTGATTCCAGAGCCCATCCTAGGATACAGGGAGACTAGGAAGAAGTGGCTCCAGTGCAATTTTAGGGAAAAGGTTCACCATAAAGTAGGACTGAGGGTTCATTTTGGACCAGAACTCTGGATCTACTACAAATTTACTCTAAAATATATCTGAATTCCTAGTCCCAGCACTTTTCAGAAGTACTTTGTAGAATGGTTATCTCTTAGCACTGCCAGAACTCTCAGGCCCTCCTTAAGGAGTGAGAAGGGGCAGGAAACTATGAGAGTTTTTGAATACCCTTTCCCTCACAGGCCCTATTTTGAATATTTTAATCATAATCTGTCATTCCTCATCTCAATTCAGGAGAACTGGCATCTAGCCCTAAGTACTATGCTCTGTCCCATCCCCTACTTAACTTTATCTTAGTGATCTCTTTCCTTGTTTATTGTGATTCTGGCCTCCTTCCTTTTTATCACAAAAGAGAGACTGCCTGTTTGTGGACTTGCAGCCCTCCTACTGAGCTAGAGAGTTTGTCTATCTGAGTGTCTGCACATGTGTGTTTCCATATGCATTGGCCCAAACAGCTTTCTGTTTGGGAAGGCCAGCCAAAAGTGTGATTTTTATTTCTTAGCATGAAACATAAGGGTCTCTGTAATAAAGGATATTCACTTCTGGAAGAAGTCCAAGCTCCTACAAACTGCAAAATATTACTGTGTGAATTAGAGTGTTCACATGGCATAAATTGCACAGTTCATCCAGCATTTATTTTGGAAAGTATTACATCTGGAAAATGGGAAATATTCCAGTGAATTCCCTTACCTTGAAACATCAGAAGACGCAAGGGTATTTTGAGATAATTTCTTGCTTAAAAGTTAGCAAGTAATTTGTATAATTAGAACTCATAAAATAGCTTTCAGTAACATTAGCAAAGTGCTTGGGGACTTTAAAAAGAAACCTGCCGATATGAAGAAATTCAGGGCAAAAAGCTGGAATTCTGACCCATAGAAGCAAATCTTTCAAATGCTTTTCAGTCCATTCCCCACTTGGCTCTCATTGTGAACATCTATGCTACTCATGGAGAACTAGTAAGACTTCTTTTGCAAGAGAAGATCTCTCCTTGGCTAATATTTGACTCCATTTTTTGTTTAAATTTTTTTTTTCTCAATTACATGTAAAAACAATTTTTAACATTTTTTTTAAATTTTGAATTCCAAATTCTCTCTCTCTCTCTCTTTCCCCTCCCCCATTATTGGGAAGGCAAGCAATTTGCTATAGATTATATATGTGCTGTCATGCAAAATATATTTCCATATTAGCCCTCTTGCAAAAGAAAACAGATCAAAAAACCCCAAGAAAAATGAAGTAAAAAAAGAAAGGTTTGATCTGCATTAGACTCCATCATTTCTATATCTGGAGGTAGATAGCATTTTTCATAAGTCCTTCTGAATTGTTTTGGATCATTGTATTGCTGAGAATAGCTAAGTCATTCACAGCTGCTCATCATACAATATTGCTGCTATTGTGTATATACTGTTCTAGTTCTGCTCACTTTATTCTGCATCATTCCATTTAAGTCTTCCCAGGTTTTTTTTTAAGGCATCCTGCTCTTTATTTCTTATAGCATAATAATATTCAATCACAATCATATACCACAATTTGTTCTGTCATTCCCAGTTGATGGGCATCCCTTCAGTTTCCAATTCTTTGCCACCACAAAAAGAGTTACTATAAATATTTTTGTACATATAGGTCCTTTTCCTTTTATCTCTTTGTCATACAAACCTAGAAGTGGTATTGCTGGGTCATAGTTTTGTAGCCCTTTTGGCATAGGTCTAAATTGCTCTCCAGAATAGAATGAATCAGTTCACAACTCCACCAACAGTGCATTAGTGTCCCAATTTTTCCATATCCTTTCCAACATTTATCCTTTTCCTTTTCTGTCATATTACCCAATCTGATAGGTATGAGGTGGCACCTCAGAGTTTTTTAAATGTGCATTTCTCTAATAAATAGTGATTTAGAGCATTTTATCATATGACTACAAATAGCTTTAATTTTTTCTTCTGAAAACTGCTTGTTCATATTGTTTGACCATTTATTAATTGGGGAATGACTTGTATTATTACACGTTTGACTCAGTTCTCTATGTATTTGAGAAATGAAGCCTTTATTAGAGAAACTTGCTATAAATTTCCCCCAATTTCTTGCTTTTCTTCTAATCTTGGCTGTACGGGTTTTGTTTATGCAAAACTTTTTAAAATTTAATGTAATCAAAATGGTCTATTTTATATCCTGTAATGCTCTCTGCCTCTTCTTTGGTCATAAAGTCTTCCCTTACCCATAGATCTAACAGGTAAAATAGCCCATGCTTCTCTAATTTGCCCATCATATCATCCTTTATGTCTAAATCATGCATCCATTTTGACCTTATCTTGGTATACAGTGTGAGATGTTGGTCTGGTTTCTGCCAAACTACTTTCTAGTTAATTTTTGTTACTTAGTGAGTTTTTGTCCCCCAAAACTTAGATCTTTGCATTTATCAAACACTAGATTACCATGGTCATTTACTACTGTGTATTGTGTACCTAATCTATTCCACTGATCCACCACTGTGTTTCTTAGCCAGCCACAGATTGTTTTGATGCTTACCACCTTGAAATACAATTTGAGATCTTCTACTGTGGCTACATCATTTCAAAGCTGTTTTATGCCTCATACACCATGTGCTGTACTTACAAAGAGGAATAAAGTATCCCTCTGGTAGTACATAGGAACCTCAGTTGTCTGGCTTCAGCAAGTACCTGGGGGAACTCCCTTCACACTCCTCACACGAGGGAGCATCGTGTTTCACAAATGATACTACAACCAGAGAGGACCAAGGGCTTAGTTGTGCACCGATGAAGTCTTTTGATGCACTTCTCTCATTATACTGGAACATCTCCTCTGTGCCTGCTGTAGTACGTACTGAGGGAAGTCAGGTGAAGACTAGAAAATTTCTTTTCTCTCAAAGTTTTTTCTTTCTATATGTTCTTTGAAGCTTCACAGTTTCATAGTTTCCTTTTGTAAAAATGGAAAAATGTAGCTAGATGTTTTATATGATTGAATATTTCACTGCTTTGAGAATAAAAGAAAAACCCCTCAAGCTGGTACTTAGAGCCTTCCATAATTTGACTCCCTACCACCTTCCAGGCTCATTTTGCATTACTTCTCTTTGTGTACTTCACATCCCCACTGAACTGGTCCCCTTGATGGTCTTTAAATTTGGCATTTCATCTGCTGTCACTGTGTTGACACAGACTGTGTCCCTTGCTTGGTATGTGGTCCCTCCTCACCATCATTTTGTATCTCTAGCTTAATACCAAGCTCAGCTCCTGTGCTATCTCCCTGGGAAGCTTCTCCTGACCCTCCTAGTTGCCTGTTCTCTTCCTCCTCAAAATT